AGAAATAGTCTGTGTGTACGTGTGAGTGCATTTGTAATCGAAATATTTTTTTTTTCTTCTTTATTCCATACTATTATATACATCTACTGAAATCAATATGGAAACAGTTCTTGGTCGTGGTTATTCAATAAATGAAGAATTTGGTATAACAGATTTTTATTCACCACCATCAAGTATTATTGATCAAGATGAAGAACAAGATGATGATTTGTTCTATCTTCAAGACGAAAACAATGAACTTGAATTAACTAATAATTTAATTCTTTCTTCTTCATCTATTAACGAAATTACTGATACTAATTCAAGTAAATTGAATATTTATCTGTCAAAAGTAAAAAAAAAAAAAACTTTCGTTTGTTTTTTTAATTAATAGAAGATTGGCTCAAACCATTACCATTAAAATTAATGTCTATTGAGACGACACCACCACCAACACCTCTTATACCACGACGTTTACTCGATCCTATAAATAATACAACAACGGCTTTTCAAAATATGACAATTAATAATACTATACCAATAACACCAACAAAATTTACGGATATACCTACACCAAATTGGTCATTGAATACGACATCAGTTAGTCCATTATTTCCATGTACTAAAGCAAATACACCTAAAACAACAACAAATTTATTAACACCAACAAATATTGATCGTTACCATATTGAACATCGTCAACTATCAGATTCAATATACAAATCATCAACAAGTAAATATTTTCTAATAAATTCAAATTCATTTTATTTTATTTTTATAGCACTTGGTACAACAGCAAATACACATCAATCAATATCTGTTCAACATACTGAAGTCAACAATGGTATGTAATAAAAACTGTTAGTGCAATTCATACGAGCTTAAAATGTGAAGTACTAGGAAGCTGTTGTTGCTAATCACACAGAAATCGTTTTAGCTGTGGCTCTGGGAAGAAAGCCAATCTGACGTTGAGTTTTTGCAGTCTATTGCTTGAGCTCGTCGAGTTCAAAATTTTTTGCGCTAGAGCCGAATCCACTTCCAGTTAATGAAAAATTTCATTAGCTGGACTGAACTAGGAACAATCCGATGGGAACCTACTGGTGATACTGAAGTTTACATACAGTACTTTATCGATACTTGTCGAAGAATGTAATCATTCAGCCATGACGTCTTAGGACGAGACGTTAGTGATACACCGTCTTTGATCGTCTTTCAAAAAAAAATTAAAATAAAGAAATCTTTTGTGTTTAGAAACAAGTCGTTTGTATTCTTATGTGGATCATGTCGATGGATTATCATCAAATGTTCGAACAGTTTGTACAACATCATCGAATTCTTGGTCCACTTTTGATGATACACATTCTATGCCATCACAAATCTCTATTAATAAAAATTCATTTGTACCTCAAATCAATATGAAACCACCACCTTGTTTAAATAATTCTTTATTTCCTCAACGAATCAATTCAATTGTCCCAAATTCGAATGGTTCATATAGTCATTCATCATCTTTTGCACATCAACAATATCCATCTCATGATCCATGGTTTTTATCTGATATGTCAACAATAGTACGTCAAAATCAACAAAATACAAATATATTATTAAGTGCAACAGCACAAAAAATTCTTGCTGCAAATACAACGAATAATAATCGTCCATTACGTTCAGAAAAAATCGATATTGAAATAATAAAACATCTTATTCGAGAAGCTAATTGGAAACGACAATGTGGATTGAAAAAAGAGGTTTAAAAGAAAAATACGTTTCTTTTTTCTCAAATCATTAAATAAAAATAATTCATTTTTAGGTTTGTGTATTTTGTCGAAATAATGGTGAAAATGAACTTATATATTCAAGTCATTCATTAAAAGATTCGATGGGCAATGTAACATGTCCAATTTTACGTGCTTATCAATGTCCAATTTGTGGAGCAACTGGTTCACAAGGTGAGTTTCCTTTTCTTTTGTTTTATTTATCAATTCATAATATAAACTATTGTTCTTTTTCAAGCTCATACAATAAAATATTGTCAAGCAACTGGTGATGATAATAATCGACATGTACCTACACCATACGAGAAAATGCTTCGTATGCAAACATTTGGTTTTGATGATCATACAACATCATCAATGCCTGGACTTTTTAGTCATATAGGTAGTCCTACGTCTCTTTATACAAATGGTTGGTCTGATAGTTATTTATGAAGAAAATGTTTTGTTGTGTATTTTTTTTTCTATAATACCTGCCAACAAATAGTAACAAAAGATATTAGTGAATTTTTTTTTGCTGTAGCGTTTGTTTTAGTAGTTAAACTGATTAATATCTAGTTAGTATTTTTTTTTGTGCGCGCACGAATTCAACCATCAATCGTGTAAAGTAGTAATTGATTTTGTTTGTTATTGTTGTGAGTTGAAAAGACGTTCTTCTTCTCTTTCACTGTTTTTCTTTTTGACATTGGCGAACCCGTTTTTTTTTTTAAGTATTCAAAATAAAATCTAGTAGAGAATATACGTTAATCAAACAATATTTTTAATAAATGACTACATATTTGAAGCTTTCAAAGACGATAGAGATGGAGAGTGTTGTAACTTGTGGATTAGGTACAAATCAGAATTGAAATCAATTAGGGGTTTTTTTTTCTTATTGTTACCGCAACAGTTAAACAGAGCAACAGCAAACGTCAAGAATTCAGAAGAGCTCAATAGCGCAGCCTCTATGTTTCTCTTTCGAGTAGAGCCTGTTATTTTGATACTGGATGCGGTTGGACACAGGTTAGGATATGAAAATTTCAGACACAACGAGTTTTACTCTTCGGCTAATCGTTATATTGCCATGAGTCTTTCTTCATTTTTTTGAACCTATATTCTCGTCAAATCAACCTTTTGGTTAGGCATAAGTGGGTTCAAACCAGTACAACAATGATATAACAATCCTTTTGTAGTGCTTGTTACTACTTATTGTCGTAAGTTTTGTTTCTGTCTCTTAGTATGTATTGCTTGACAGAAAACTTCGTAGGACTACAAAGTATATATTGATTTTCTTCAATTCATTAACAATTTCAAAAACATGGACGTTATTTATTGCTTGTATATTTAATTTATTTCCAACATTATATTTGCTTGTGTTTGAACAGTGAAAACTTAAATATCAATTGTTTGAAGAGGTGACCATTTAGGATATTTCTGTTCCACAAGCAATTAGAATAATATCGCTTATGACAAATAGAATTATTTCAGAACGACAAGAATATGTAGATAAAACTGATTCGAATGTTATCTCGATATCAACTCAATTGTTGAACTGTGAAACTTTCTTTCTGTTGAACGAAACTTCTATTAAGAAATTCTCAAAAACCGAATCTCTGCGAAGATTAATATGTTTAAATTATTTTTTTTTCTTTTAAATACAATTTCAACAAATACACAATCTAGGTGCAGGTAATTGTTGAGATATAAAATGTGTTTACCACTAAAAGCTTTTAGTCTATGTTTTTGAAATTTTGTAAATATCAAAAGGATTTTATTATCACTACATAAATAACAGTTAGCAAAACATTTTCTGGTAAACTAGAGATCATTTTCTATCTAATAAAAATAAACAATGAGCTTTCGATCTCCTGCTGCATAACCACCATGTCTGCGTGACTAGGTTGTTCGACACGTATCCATAATGTACTATGCACAAACTTTACTATCACTAACCATACAAAGAAAACTACTTTTTTCAACAATGTCATTCCAAAGACTACAAATATCTGAACAAAATGAGAGCTTACAACATTTCAACGATCTTTTCTTAAAAAGTCAAAAGTATCACAAAATTCGAAAAAAAGTCTTTTGTTTTTTTCTTTACGGTTTTGTAGTATTTTTAAATTTTTAAGAGAAGACCGCAGAAAATTTAGCAATCCAAAATTCTGTTCAGAGTTTCGTGTTCTTTGAAATGGTATTGTCAAAAAGTAGTTTTCGAAGACCTAAAAACAACTCTGTCCAGTTTTTTAAACAAATCTTGTCATCATAGTTCAATAATAGAATTTCGTTACAGAAAACTCCATTGACTATTAACCCTTTGAGGACATTTTTTTTTCAATCGAAAAACTTGTTCTTCAATCAATGTATTGTATTCGGTTCAAAATTATAACATGAAATACTTATGATAGTACATTCGGAGAAGAGACGAAGAGTTCACGACGTTGGTGTATATTAGTGTTAAGAAAGGAGAACATCTGACAAGCATCTATATAATAGAAAGAAAGAGAAAAAAAAGATACGCATGAAATGGCAAATGCAGAAATCTAATTAATACCTTATAGGTCAAAGTAGTTTAACGAACAGCAAATATTTTGATTATTGGAAAACAGGTGATACAAGGTATGTACCACTATCCCTAAAGGGTTACAATCACTATATAGACTTGACTAAATAGAATAGTCTAGTACATCACAGAAATATAGGCTCTGCTGTTAATAAAAAAAAGTGATCGATTCACAAAAAAAAATAACACACAAAAGCTCTTTGTAGTTATCAATTACAACTCTGACATGAACAAAGAAGTTTTTGTATACGTATAAAATATTGTACTCTCACATGAAGTTTGATATTTTAGGAATTGATATATGAATTAAATTTAAAAAAATATATCTATCAATGAATAAAACTTGTTGAATAATAATAGACTTTGTTTTTCTGATCTTTTAAAAGATATAGTTTATATAGAATTTGAAAAGAAAAACTATTCGAAGTACTTATTAGTATATAATAGGACCATTTTATTGACAAAAGAAACTTTTTTTGCTTCTTTCTTTGTCTTTTTTAGAATATCTATCATTGTGTTGCATTTATGTTTTCTGTTGAATCTTTCCGCTTGAATTATTTTCTCTTGACAAGGTGGTGTAAAAGCAAAAGTTGCTGTCATCACATGGTCTTCATGCATGATTGCCGAGAAGTAAAACAAAGTTTTGTTTTTTGATAGTCATACTTGGTTGCTTAACGTGTAAAAATATACGATATTTTTTTTTAACAATGGGTAAAGGACGTATTGATGGGATTGCTACTTCACAAAGCTCTACACGATGGTATTATTTCTTGTTAACAGTTTCACAAGTCATCGGCATCTCAGCACTTATTGTACTTGGTGTTCTTTTTGGAAAATATCGCGGAGGATTTGGATGGAGTGTAAGTTTGTTTTTTATTTCTTTCTCAAAGTAAAATATTTGAAGTTTATTATGTAACATACAAGAAAAATAAACAAACTAAAAATAAATGTATGTTGTTGTTTTATTAGTCAGATCTTACAAAAGTATTTAATAATCATCCATTATTTATGGCACTTGGTATGATATTTTTCTATGGTGATGGTAAGTTAATGTAATTAAAATATCTTTCTGAATGCATATTTTATATATTTAAAAGCTATATTGGTTTATCGTGTATTTCGTGATACAAAAAAAATTTTTGTTAAAATTATTCATGCATGTTTATTAGCACTTTCACTTATTTTATCCTCAATTGGTCTGAAAGGTGTTTTTGATAGTCATAATCGAGCTGTTCCGCCACGAGACAATTTAGTTACAGCTCATTCATGGATTGGTCTTACAGTTGTGATTTTATTTGGTTTACAGTGGGTATGTGGTTTTATAACTTATCTTTTTCCAAAATTAAGTGAAAGTATTCGTCAAGCATATATGCCAAGGTAATAATAAATATTGTCTGTTTTTTTTTTGCTTTTAATCGAAATAATTTTTGTTTAGTCATAAATTTTGGGGTAAAACAATATTTATTCTTGCCATTGTTGCTTTTATGATGGGTGTTGTAGAATATAGTATATTGTAAGTAATTCCATTTATTGATTTATTATTATCTTTTTTGTATTTTAGTGATAACCTTTATAATGATAAGAAACTAAGAGTTCATGGAAATACGTTAACAGTAATGAGTATTATGTTTTTGATATTTGCTATTATTGTTATTTATCTTGTTGGTGATAATGATTTTCAACGACCTCCAGAAAATGTCGATGAACATACGCCTTTAACTGAGTGATCAATATAATTTACATCAGTATTTTGACATAATTTTTTCGATTATTTTTCGATAAATAACGTTTGACTTTATCTCCTCTCAATATTTTTCTTTTCCATCAATAATTTTGAAAACTATGCTTCAATAAAAACAACATTCATTCAGAAATTATTATAATATATTTAGTTGTAAAATTCAAAGTTTTTCTTTTTCGTCTATTCAAATTCCAGACAATAAATAATGTTTATTTTTACGTGGCATATCCTGCGTAGGCTAGAAATCATTTATAAAAAACAACACTATATATATATTTTTTTAATGTATTATAATCCAATGATTTGATGTATTATTTAGATAATAAAAGAGAACTTCAAGTCGTTATCCATAACTAAAATATTTAATAATATCGCTTAATATTATTATTACTTATTTAAATGACAAAATTTCACATGGGCATATCAAAGTAAGGGATAGAGTTTGGGTTTCCATTGTATGATTAAAATTTCTGAATTTTTAAATAATTTATGTTGTCAATCTGAACGTTTTGTTTTATTAGTCTATCTGACTTTACATAATCTTCTTAGATGTTCTTGTACTAAAAGTTTTCGAAAAAACTTGATCGACTACAGTTAAATTTTAGTATGGTTCTTCCATCAATAGCTATCCAAAAAAACAGAAAGGTGCCTGACAACTTATTAACATCTTTCGTTATGTAGAACTTTATCCGCTGAATAATTTAGTAAAAAGAAATGATCTATTTACACCAATAAAAGATGGTGTTACCGTCAAAATACTAGAAATCATCACATTGTGTGAGGCTCTAGAGTAATTTAACATTTTTCAATATTTTGACTGAAGCATTGTGGTTTGTCGATGTCAATAGACAAGGTTACTTTTTCTAACTATTGATGAAAAAACGTTCAAAGAAAAATTTACTTTTATATTGAAAACGATGCTGCTAGATTTCAAGTGTATTAATAAGCTGTCGTCATATGAATAGAAACTTGGAACTTTCTATATTCGATCAGAATATGATAGAAATATAGACTCTGTTTTTTGCGTAAGTGTAAATTCCATTTCTAAAGGTAGAGATGTAATCGAAATATTTTTTCTGAAGATTAAAGTATAAATAGAAATTCAATGTTTTATTTTATCTTATGTTTTATAGATTTCGGCATACTTGGTTTTGAATGTTATCAATACATTATCTTTTCTGTTGAATTTCTCGTATTGGTAGAGAAGCCTGGTTTTATGCATATAAAATAAATTTTTTTTTTTGATGAATCTCTGACTGAGAAAAACATTCGCATAAGTTTAAAAGAAAATCAGCAACATAAATAATCATATACACACTGACTAAAAGCTAGCTCATCGACGAAAAAATTGAATATCTTCATCATAATTTGAACATTTCTCAATTAATTTCGATAGAGAATTTTTCCAGTTAATATCTATTGTGAAGTTTTGACCGAGATGTTGAATTTTTAGCGAATTTATCCCTTGAGGACCTTAGCTGTTCAATAAGATCTTAATTTCAAATTTTTTGTCTGAAACTCTACCGCAATCAAATTTTCAGCCAAACTAACTTTTGTACCTTTCTATTGATATTTTATGAATCGTAAAGGTTTCGATGGACGACTAAGTAACATTCAAACTTTGATTGCGGCAAAATTTCAGTCCAAAAAATTTAAAATTCAGATTTTATTGAAAAAATAAGCTCTCCGACAAGTAACTTCACTAAATATTCAACATCTTGGTCAAAAATCCACAAAAGAGTAAAACCTTTTGGGGTTATTATGAACAGATAGTCTACTACTAACGGTTAGACCGGCAATTTTACGATGAAATATTTATTTTTTAGGTATCTGCAAGGAGCCAAAAGCTATGAGATTGGACCAACATATTGTGTACTTTGCAAATGTAGTCATAAGAAATTATATTTCAGTTTTTGTTCGAGAATAGTAACAAAAATTGAGTTAGTCTATAGAGAAACTCTAATTACACATCTTGTAAGATAGCTTTTGCTCTACGAACTGATATATTTATAATAGTGTCAACATTTACTTTCAAGTTGCCATAGTGAAAGTACAAAAAAAAGCACGGAAAAAATTTCCATTCAAACTATTTTTGGCGTCTTTCAAAAGATTATCACATTGATTTCAAGAAAAGTTCTAAAACTACATTCGAAAAGAATATGAAATTCTAGTAATAACTCATCGCTTTTGACACATCGAAAACACTTTCAAAGTAATCCAATATAAACAAACGTTTTGTCTCAAAAATTTCAACCCATCTATTACTTGAAGAAACAAAGACTGACAAGCTATGAATCCATTGAAGAGATTCTTCATCGAAATTAACGGAGAAAAGTTCTTCTCAATATTCTTCTTGAGGATATGGATCATGAATACATTTTTATCATCAATAAAACCATCAGCCAATTCAGTTAAACTGTAGTGAAGATATTCAATTTTTTCTTCGGTTAACTGACATTAGTATCATTTTGTCTTATATCTTTTGAAAAGAATGCATATTTTTAATATGCAAATATTCAATTCACTTTTTTTTTTATTCTTCATCAAATGTTCTCCCTCCCTAGAGAGAGAAAGAGACACTAAATACCATTTGTCGGTATTCTTCTCGTCTTTCTCTTTACACCCTGATCGATTGATTAGCGGAACTAATGAGCTTGCCGTTTAGTTTTTTCAGAAAAAAAACAAAAAGTATCGTTAAACCTTCAGTTTGTATTAGTATAACATAAGTATTTAGTTACTAATTTCTGTCATATAGTGTAATATTCTATTGACAACTGATGTTTTTCGTAATCTTGCAAATCCCAATTCTCATATGCGATTTTCTTTATAGCAAGGATATATCTCTATATTTGTGTTTATTTAACATTTTAGAATAAGAAGATTTTGTATATCTTTACCACCACCCACAGTCACCGAGACCAAAGTTATAGGCTAATTTGCTTTGTTCTTTTTATCCATCAGTATTGATCGTATTTATATATAGATGCATATCATTCTCCGTGGAATTGATCTCCAACATATCAATTAACAAAATCCAACATCATTGATATATCTTATTATGGATGTTACATTAATTACCATTGGCAATTTTGTTCTGAAAATTTTTGTATTCAAAAGAATGACTATTTTACTGATATGAAAACGATTCTTTTTTTCATTAGAATGATTATCCTTCAGTTAGATTATAATTTTAAATGATATAATCATTTTACAGACAATAATGAAGAATAGTAATCTTGTCAATAAATTAACACCTGTTTCTTTTTGTCGATATCTGATACGATGAATGATCAGTTTTACTTTTTTTTTCTTATGCTTAACATTCAAACATGTCAGATCATATATTTGAAATATTCAAATAGTAAATATTGAAAAAAAAGAAGAAAACTACCATTGTTTTTTTTTTCTTGTAAACTTTTTTTTATCATGAGTTGTTGGCAAAGAAAATGAGAAGATACCGTTACACATTTTGACTTGATGATTCGTTCTCAATCTATATATTTTATCATCTTTACTCGTTTTTCTCTTCTCTGTTATCAAACTAGTTGTACATCATCAGTAGTATAGAAATAGAGAAAAGAAGAAGAAGAAAAAACGATTGTTAATTGCTATTCGATCCTCTCATCAAACACAACTTCAATCAACCAACCAGATAAAAGAAAACGATAGTAAGAAGAAAAAAAAAAGAAAAAGAAGAAAATGCATCGCATCATTATGAAATCCAGTAATAGTTTTTTTATTTTGTATATAATACATATTAATTACCATTCTCTTCAATCTTTAAAAAAAAACTCACAATGATGACAGATTTTCGAAGTTGTCAACAACAATATACTGATAATTCATTGATACCATCATCAACACCGATCTCTGTTTCATCTTATGGTGCTTATTTTCATCCAAATATTGCTTATAATACAACAAATGAAATAGATGGACAATATTCTCAATTTACATCTTCATATGCATCACAATTTTATCACCATCAACAGCAACCACAACAGCAACAATCATATGATTTTGATTCATCTTCTTCTGCTTCATTTATACCACATTATTCAACACTTCAACCAGTTAATTCATCTTATACATCATTTTCACCAACATCTGAACCTAATCCTGATAAATCTCTTAATTATTTTTATTCATCATTACCATTACAAACAACACTTTCATCAAGTTCAACAACTGAATCACGTTCACCATCAACTCATTCATGTGATGATGAATCAAATATAACTATAACACCAAATAAAAATGATATTCATACAGAATCATCTATGATTAATGGTTCATGTGATGGTACACGTCGTTGTTTATTATGGGCATGTAAAGCATGTAAACGTAAAACAGTAACTGTTGATCGACGAAAAGCAGCAACAATGCGTGAACGTCGACGTCTAAGAAAAGTCAATGAAGCATTTGATACATTAAAACGACGTACATGTCCTAATCCAAGTCAACGTTTACCTAAAGTTGAAATCTTACGTAATGCTATTGAATATATTGAAAATTTAGAAGATTTACTTCGTTCATCAGGAATTAATTCAAGGTCATTAAGACATGATTTAGATAATCAAAAACCAAATATTAATGAGGTAAAGTTTCTTTTTAATCTTTTTTTGCTTATTATATGTTCCTATCTATCTATATATATATATGCACAGTTATTAAAACCAAGATCTTCAACGATAAATTACAGTGAAAAATATGAGAACTTAACTACAGATTATAATAGTAATTCAACAACACCACCTGTTTATGAAACCATTGATAGTAAGTAAATATAAGAATTTTAATGTTTAAAAAAAAAAAGAAACATTTTTTCCTCGCTTTATCAAATACGCTAACTAGCATGTTAATAATGCAAATGTGTTTTTTTTGATGTTTTAACAACACATGATATGTGTATATATATCTTTCTCATCGAATTAAGGCACAGATACATCCATTATCATTAGACTCTAAATGATTGTTGTTATTAATATCCATCGAGTAAAAATCATATATATTATAAATCTATATTTAGATTATCCTGAAGTGGTATTAGCACATCAAACAAGATCATCAACAATATCAAGTCTTGATTGTTTATCAATGATTGTTGAAAGTATTGATCCAAATAAAATAGTTACTTCATCAAATGGAATATCGAACAGTACTATTTTAAATCAATGTTGTTAAAAAAATTCTTTCTCTTTCTTTTTTTTGCTCATATTTATGTACAATTTTGTCTTGTTCTTTTAGTAATAATCAAAATTGAATGAATAACAATGAACATTTTTTTTTTCAGTGCAGTTTTTTTTTCTGAGCTTTATAGGTGTTCATTCTTTTCATATTTGTTTAAAAAAGAAATTCTTCGATAATATTAAATGATTGTCTAACAATGTAATGGATGATGCAACATTGAATAGAAGGTTGAAATCATTGATGTATATGTATCATTTATGAATATTGACGAAACTTCTGTTATGACCAATCAACACTACGCTTATCGATCAAGGTTGTTTATGTTTAGCAATTTAATTAATTTTGACTTTTGCATTTCTTGTTTTTAAAAGATAATTTGTGGAAATATACTAGTGACATTCTTTGTGACTCTCTGAGCAGAAAATGTTTTTTTTTAAATGACTAGTTACAGGTAGAAGTATCGAAAAAAAAGGATGCTTGATGTTGAGTGAGTTCTTTCACAGTTATTACATAATTTAATTGAAAATATTTTCATGGATACATAATTATTAAAATATGTTGTTTAAAATAGTATAACAATGAGTTTTCATTATAGTATAATCGTTGACAATGTTAAGATCGAACATGATCATCCCATTGTATTATTACTACGGATCATTTATTGATTTATCATCATTTTTAGAAAAACTCTTTCTAATCACCATGCAATCAAATGTTTATCGTACACTCATCATTTTTCGGTTATTTGTTTTTGGTTAGAGAGAAATCACTGTTATAACTTTTAAAGCATGATACTCTAAGGATGTTTTATGTGCATAAAAATATTTTCATTCAAGTGTCAAATGACAAAGCGATACGTGTCGCAAAATAGAAGATTAGTTGTGTTTTTTCATCATTATTAAGAATACGCACTTTATGTTCACATTCAATTTCAAACTCATACTCTATTGATTCTATATTTGTAATATTGTATTATAAGAAGTGTCTTTAAGACATCTCAAAGGATATATAAATTAGATAAAAAAATCAGCTATTTGCTTTTCAAAAAGTTTATTAGAAGAACTATGTCAATGCTTTATAGAATATATCTTGCTGAACAAATAGGCACATAATACAGAGATGAAACTGCTCTAGATTTTTGATGAGTGGTACTGGTTCGATCACTGGCTAGTGTCATTTAATTTAGTCCAGTTTCAACGAAATTTCATTTCATATATTCTATGTAATACTGTTAAAACAAAACAGAAGTTTCAAATGAGTTCATTTTACAAATGCTGGAAAGCAAATCTGCCGATAATCGATCCTGGTTTCATCTTAGACACAACGAGTAAATCTATATAGTGAATGCATCTTTTACAAATTTATGTGTACAATGAACACGCAAGTGTTTATTACCGCAAGAAAAGAGAAGGTGAATAACTTTCACTACACATCCTATATAGTGAATACTTTTCACATATGATTCGACCTTTTTTTTTTTGTATTCAGTTCTCATATAAGAAAATTATCGACTTAAAGCTCAATAATCATATGCACTCAAGTGTCATATCTTTCTCTCATTATTTGTTGTATCACACAAGTGCGTGAATTAGTTTGATACAAGATAAAAAAAAGAATCTAACCATTAGTTAATAGTAATCTTTTTTTTTATAATTCTCTGCTGAACTATGTGGAAATTAATTTATGTTTTAATTCTATTTTCTATGATCTGTATGGCAAGAGCTATATTTCATTCAACTAAATTTAATCGAACATATATGTAAATATTATTTAAATTTTATATATAATTTTTGATTTCGATTATTTTAGGATATTTATTTCCAAAGATGCACCCATAGGTCATAAACAAATAATTGATACATATGATTTATCATTTTGTTTTATTTTTTCAATGAATACAACTTATTCTCATCATCATAATTTACCATTTGAAATTTTATTAATACCAAATCAAAATTGTACATTATATTTACATGTTATTCATTTATTAAATCATAAACATACATCAATGTATACAGTTAAACAAGTATTAATTTATGAAAATATTTCAAACATTATTCATTTATCAATTAATATCATTGATGTTAATGATCGTATATTACAATTTGAAAATAAACATTATCATTTTATTGTACAAGAAAATATTTTACCAGGAACATTTATTGGACATGTACAAGTATATAATGCTCAAATTGTCTTTAATGATAATATATTCTATATATTATTTGGTAATGATCTTATACAATCAAATAATCAAATAATGTTTCGGATTGATAAAGATACAGGAGATATCTTTTTATTTGATTATGAACTTGATTATGAAATAAAACAAGAATATAAAATTATGGTTGAAGCAAAAGGTTACTATGAAGATTTTGAAACTGGTATATGGACATCTATATCATCATTTGCAGATATTATTATTACTGTTGAAGATATAAATGATGAAAAACCACAGATTATTTTTTATATGCCAGATGAAAATAAAAATGAGAATAATGAGAAAATTATGAGCATTACAAAACCAATGTTAAATGAAGGTTTGCGAAATTAATAATTGTTATTTTTCATTATTTAAATTTTAATCAAATAGTTTTCGGAATAGTAACGAAACAAGAATTGTCTCGTCTATCGAATATGACACAAGTCATTTACACTAATGTAGTCATAGGTACTATTTTTCGAACACTTTTTTTTGAACATGAAAGACCCAATGAAGAAAATATTCCTTTTGTGAATATATAGCTTACTATTTAATCAACACAATATTATATGTAGTCGATGAAGCCTTTTGAATACTATCTACTAGAGAATTATGTGTTGAAAACCTAATATTCTTTTGCAAAAATGCAATATATCAGAAAACATTAGATGAAAGCCAATTGGGCATCGTTCACTAAAACTTTGTAATGCAACCTATAAAAAGTTTTGGTGTTCATGTATTAAATTGAAATAAATCATGGTTTATAGAGTAACGAAATTTGTATTTTCTAACATGAAACGCAGATTTGTAATAGAAAGAACGTGGCAAAATATTTGCTACGTCCAATACTTGAATTTTCGATCGATAATTTTAAATTGACCAGGAACTATTTCCAGGTATCAATTGTCGCTTTTCATTCTGGACTTAGTACATCTTGTAGATCCTATTGAACCGTATCTACCGTAAAAAGAGTTCACGTTGGTGACCTTTTCTAAGCAAATCAAATGTTCTTAGTGAATTTTCGCTGAGAGACTTCCACATTGCCATCAAGACCATATTTTTGAATTTTGAATTGAAAGCTTCCCAACATAATGACCTCAATTGGATTATTTTATATTGAAAAAATAAGAATTTTTGTGCTAAGTCTCTTCAAGGTAGAGAACTTAGACACTGTATAGTGCATGTAGTTTTTGAAAGCTTCATATCTCAGAAAGACTAAGCTCTAGATAAAAAAATTCTTTATGAAAACTACTCTCATTGAGCTCTTTATGTGTGCAAAATTTCACAACAAAATTCACAAGTATGATCTTGGTGCAATGGTCAAGTCATGCAACGAAAATTCACTAAAAATATTCGACTTCCTTAGAAACGGGCTATAAGCACGAGCTCTTTTTTTTTACAGTAGATATAGTTCATTAAGAATTTTCAAGGTGAACTAAGTTCTGACTTGAGACGTGTGGGGCCAAGTTTGTTGGTCCTGGTCTACTGAAACCTATTCCAGAATTGATTCATATCATATCCAAAAAAAAACTTCAATGGCCATTTCTTTTTATTTATTTACTCGATGACTAGCACTTTTTTTGGAGCTACCTCTGTTAAATGATATTCTAATTGATATGATTTATTAGATAGTTGGCTTGAAGTTAATGAATATTTAACTATCATCTTTAGTTTTGGTTAGGACAACTTTTTTTTGTTGTCGTTGCGGTGTCGGATCCAAGACTAAAATTGGTTCCGCCCATTCCTAATTCTCCCTGAAAAGCGAACACCAATGCCTGTGAATGTTCTCTCATGAGAAAATAACATGAAGTCTTTATAAAATAGAAGAAATATTTCTTTTGCGAGCAAAAAATAAAACGAAGTAGTTCTAATACTTGCATTTGTTCTGTATTTATGAATTAAATTTCCAAGGCTACGTTCTTAAAACTAGCTGAATTAAGAAATGTACGCATCTTCATGGTAGACAGTCATGAATTTCAAAACCTAATGTATTCGAGTCTTATTATCATTCAACTAAAGACTAACTTTGAATAAAATATTACCGACTTGTTTCAGATATTATCAAGGTCAGTTTTTTTTCGTTGTAATATGTAACTGTTCGTTCAGTTCACGTTTTCTTTGATAATATTTGAAAGAAGAAAAGGAAGTCCTCTTTTTTTGTTAAGAGCAAAATCACTTCATAAATTCATTTCGTTCAACTATAAACCTTATTGAAAACGATGCTGAAGTAATTTGTTTAACTAAAGAAGAATCTTTACCAATCAATACTCTTCTTGCATTATTTCATTTGTATGATAATGATCAAATATCAAATGGAAGTTTATCGCTTAATTTACAAACATATGTTCAATGTTCACAAGAAGAAATTTTGCTAAGTAAAATATTGAAATCTATATTTTCGTTTTTAGAATAATCATTTCTATTTTCAATTTTAGATAATAAAACATTTTGTCATTTATCAAATATTTTTCATTTAACTATTGTACGTCTAAATGTCTATGGATTATATAATTCTCAAATACTAGATCGTGAAGAATATGAAGATTATATAATACATTTAATTGCAAATGATAATGATAATCAATCACTAGAAATGAATACATTATCGAATTCATTTCAATCAGAATTATTTATTTATTTAATACTTCTTGATATAAATGATAATGTTCCTATATTTGATCGAACTTATTTTTATATTAAAATTGATGAAAACTTATCGAGAAAAACAATTATAACTCGCTTACAAGCATATGATATTGATAAAGATAGAAATGGAACCGTTCATTATGAACTTATCGTTAAAAATCAAAAATATTTTTCAATTGATAACTATTCAGGAGTTTTACGTACTAAACGTAAACTTGATAGAGAACAATGTGAATGGTATCGTGTTGGTATACGTGCATATGATCTTGGTTATCCAATACGAAAATATTCATCAATAGTTATAGTTGATATAGAAATTAATAATATAGATGATCATGTACCTCATTTTACACATAATATCTATCGTTTCAATATAGAAGAAAATGCATCGATAGGAAAAATAGTTGGTCGAGTGACTATTGAAGATAAAGATGAACAAGAACCAATGGAGCAAATGATTAATTTATCAACTATCAATGATGGAGATATTGTAAAATTTAAATCGAGCAAATCAAATAAAATATCACGGTAAGAACAAGTAACGCTTGTCCTTGTGACTCATATGTACCTCGACTAAATGTTCGACTCTTTCTGTATAATTTACTACTTAACAAGTCCGATTGGCAATCAAATGAAGTTTATGCATAAGAATCATTGCTAATGTGAATTTGAGCGTGAACGTTGATGTGAATATGCGTTAGAGGTCGTCAGATTGGTCCCGAATCCATTCGGATTCGAAAACTTTGGACTGAATGAGTTCTAGTGTGTATGACCATGTGCTACCTCTCTTCATCTATTAAAACAGTCACAGTTATACCGACACACCTCACATTTGATCGGTTGAATTTCGAACCTGAAAAAGATTTGATCGATTGGGCTGCCAGCATGAAAACAATCATGTAACATAGTTCTTCAAAACTCTGATAAATATATTGTACACGTGACTTCACATGTACACGCGAACAAACTCAATTTATTTCATATGACTCTGGCGTCAGTCGACAAAATAACTAATTGGAAGGTATAACACCAAAATATACAGGGAATACTAGTTAGTATTACTGATTTATCCTAATCATATCATTACCAGTAATAAAAAAAAGAAATGAATGTATATCTTTAGTAAAAGTACACATGCGTGCGTATAGTATCTACTATTCATTTCGAAATATAATGTGTTTCACTGGTTTTTTGAATAACTTTTGATTGAAACATCATCGACACTTATGGTTTTCACCATTCAAAAAAGAAGACTTGTACCTATCGAAGTATATCCAATTTATTTGGTCAACAATTGACCAATTAGATAAGCACTTAGTGCAGATTTTCCAAAACGATATTCTAAAGCTTTTATCCTTTCGAGTTTAATTTTTAATCTGGCTTCGTAGCATCACTCTATAAGAATATAGGAATTGGAAAGCATCATTTGTATAGAATTTTCTCCAACTACATAGGAAATATACACAACAATGATTAACTCGAAGAGATATTTACAGAATTCTAACGAGCTCTGGAACAAACCTGCAGATTGTAGGCTGTTTTTTTTTCGCGTGCATACTATTTTGATGCAGTAAATAAAAATATCTTCAAATTATAAAAAAGAATGACATGACAAATTTTTCTCTGAAGAAACAAAAAAACTTTCGTCGATTTATTTTCCATCTGTTGCACACATGCATGTTTAGATTATTATAAATAAAATCAAATTGAATAAAGATTCAAAAAAAGACCATATTTTTTTTCTTCTGTTTTCATCGTATAAACTATGCCTTTTCAACATTTTTATAGTATTTGATACAGGTCAAAGTATAAAACAAAATATTTACAAGTACAAAAGCTGTTGGTGTAAGCTTAACAGAAGTAAAATTTGAAACACTATGTAGCTACTGTCATTGGAAAAAAGGAAATCCGTCAACATATGTTTCCGTTCATGAATTACTACTTACTACTAATGTCTGTTGATGTAAAAAGATATTAACTATAATACATTTCAATTAGTATGAAAGAAAAGCAAAGAATCGTTATGATAAAGTCATCCTGTTTGATACTAATGTTGTATTAGATTAGTATTGTGAATATACCAGCTATGATCTATGAAGAGAGAATGGGTATAGTGGCTAGAGGAGGGGAAGCCGAATATATAGTCAATTATAACAATTTCTTTTTTAGCTTGAGCTCTAATTTTCTCAGTATTATGACATGCAATCAAGTTCAATAATATCTCATGCGATAGCGCGTGCAAAGCACAACAATGCGAATATTTAGTTTCTATAAAAAAAAAAAAAGTTTGATTAAAACACATTTTATCACAAATACGGAATTTTTTGTTGTTGTTTGGCTTCTACTCCGCCTTCAATGAAGGAACGAGCATCAAATTTCTATCTTTATAATTCAACACTTCTTATAGATCGTATTTCACATAAAGATCAGTTATCAACAAAAACTTTTAATAAATAAAAAGGAAATAAATTGCATTATAATTTATTCATTATTAAGACAAAAATGAAAAATGGAGCAGTATATAAATATAAATGTGCAGTTGAATACTATAGACTGCATATTTGAAATGCAAATAATATCTCTTATTTGCTAAGCTGTAATTCGACTGTGTCCAATCATTTGTCTTGTAATATTTCTAATAATTTATACTATTTACATCTAGAGTAATCATCAATGTATAATTTATATGATTTCATTCATAAGTTGTATGAAGTGACGAAATACTGTTCACCAGAAACAGTCATAAATATTAGATAAAGCATATAGCCTTTTGGAACAAGAAATTTCACTAGTGAATAGTGCCGGAGTTTTCTAATTTTGTCACATTGTATATCAAGTGATATAAAATTTATTACTGGATCTTCGCACATATGTTTAATACAGCAGAATCTACGATCAGGGGAGACGTCAAGGTTGAGTTTAACGTCCCTAGAAAGTTTAGTGATCAGACATACAGGGTTATAAACAAAAATAATAGCTCTCAAAACAATAGTAATAACACAAATTACTCGTAAGAGAAATATTTCTGACATGAAAATGTATGAATTATGACACTTGAAAATCAATGAATGACAATCATTTGGCTGATTTCATATTTCTAATAAGAGAACGTGTGTTTGAAGTAAATATTGAACAAATATTGTACTTAAGATTTTTGATGCCAATCACAAGAATAGTAGAATCATTTTGCTTTAAATTTTACAGTTTATTTTCTTTCATAATAACGATAATAATACTAATTAAATAATATTTCATATTGATAAGTCTTCAAGTCAGCTGTAAAACATTTAAATCTTCTAACAATATATGTATATATAATAGAGGAATTCAGGTCAGTTATGTATTAGTTCTAACATAAGAAAATCATTCTTATATTTTTAGTACTCAAGACAAATAAGCATTGTTATGAGTGTCCCAAAGTGAGCAAGGTCGAAGTGGAAAATCAACGTTTTCTTCACTATAACTAAAATTTGATTGTTTTGCAGAAATTCACATGGCGAAACAAACTGATTTGTTTCAGTAGAAATCAATTATTATCTGCTCATCACGAATTAATAGGAATCATCGGAAATACTTTAGTATGAAGGAAAATCAACAGAGACCATTAAAAATCAAGAACAATCACTAGGAACATTGGAAAGTATACAAAAATCAACGAAATCAATAAAATCATGAGAAATTAGGGCTTTACTTTTTAATCATATTATTACAGACGATTTATAATGATTTCTAGCATAGAAATCAGTTCATTTCCCATTGGTGATATCTTTATATAAAAATTCTACTTTTCCGAACCGATTTGGTGCAAAATCAGTAGGCTTGCTAACGCTTCATAAGTTCACATAAAATTTTCGAAGTATTTCACAAATAGTAAGAGGTTCGTATATTTCGACTTTACCTTACAATTGTTTACGGTGCAAAGTTAGCAACATCCTTCAATGTTATTATTCATAAAACTGATCATCCTGGAAGCACTTGTTTTTTTTGTTAATAATATTTTTCAGAAGATAAAAAATAGACCTTGCTGAAACAGCTATTGTTGTACTCTCTTTAGCTCACATTTAAGAAACCAATCAGCTAACCATTTCATATTTCTATCAAACTACGACAGAAATTTTCGCTTAGGTTATTGCAAGAATGGAACAAGACAAGGTATCTGTCATAAAACATTTCTACCTTAAAAGAAAATCTGTTCGCCCCCTCTACGTATTGATATTTATGAATAAGTGACTCTATAAACTATGCACAGATGTTTATACCTGAGCATGGTTTGTAATTTTTAAAAAATATCCCGAAAACTTTTCAAACGTCTGACATATAACACTTTGCTTTCACCCCAAACCTACTTGATAAAATGATCAAGATAAAAAATCGTTGTCGAGTATGTTTATATTGTATTTTTCTTTTGTTTTTTTTTAAATTTTATTATTTAGAACTAATAAATCAATGATTGATTTTCTATTTATTGATTCCTATCGAAATGAATCTTTATCTGGTTTATTTTCCATTGATTCTCAAGGTTATATTCATACATTAGTTATATTTGATCGTGAAATTCAATCAAATTATACTTTTTATATATTTATGTATGATAGAATATTAAAATCTTATACATTTCCAACATACATAATCATTCAAATACTTGATGAAAATGATCATATACCATATGAACCATTTCTTTCAAATTCATCGATATTATCAATTGAACAAACAAATAATGATGAAATAATTCTATATAAATTTCAACCTATTGATCTTGATGATGGTCTTAATGGGTTTGTTTCAATTGAATGTCTTAATTGTTTATCAATATTTTATTTTAATATTATAAATTCATCAATATTAATAACTCGACGTAATATAAAAATACCCGATGGATTATATACATTAAATTTAATGTTGCGTGATCATGGTTTAATTATATCATATAAACGATTTTATACATTAAAGATTAATCTAACTCATTCTTTTAATTCTAAAGCAGAAGAAAAATTATTTTCTATGAAGTTTATCTATAAATATTTTTTATTAAAATTTTCTTGGCAATATTTTATTATATTTCTATTTATTTGGTTTATACTTGTTCTTATGGCACTATGGAAATGTTATTATTATGATCGAATATTAATTAATAAAGAAATTAATCAACATAAAATAATTAGTAAACGAAATAAAATTTTTATTCCATTCTATCAAATTGTATCTAAAAATCGAAATGTAAGTTTATATCAAGCAAAATAGGAAACATTTTCAATTCTGATTTTTTTTCTTCTTGATAAATAATTAAATAATAAACATGAAATCATTCGTGCTTTAATCGATTGTTCGCTTTTACTTCTATGAATTTATAGTGTGGACGAACACTTTGAAAGCGAGAAAATTAATAACGATGATATTTTTCTATTTATATGTGAGCACAAAAAAGAATAAGAAGAAGTAGAAGAAAGAAGAAGAAGAAAAAAAAGCAAGTTTCATCAACATCTTTTCTTTTTTTTTTCTTCTCCCTCTTCCGCGAAAACTATAGTTGATGTTCCCTTGATTGTCTCATTGAGTGAATGGTAGTATTCATGGTGTCTATATTATTATATTCACACATGCAACTTTACTCACATACTGACGATAATTAAATGTTTTTGATACAACAAAAGCAAAGTTTGCATTTATGACGAAGGACATAAAGCTATAGAATTTTAGTTGTATAGAATCCGTTGTTCAGGGACACACGAAAGAAAAGAAGAATGAATGAATTCACAGAAGACACTGTTAATATCTTTAAAGAATTGTACTAACATTCTTCTTTCTTCTAGTTCAGTAATGACGACGTGTCAAGCAACTTGAAGTCAACTCCTATTCGAAATCATTCTACACAAGTAACACTTCGTTCCACAAGTTTTTCACGATTTTACAGAATTAATTCAGATTGCCAATTATTATCATCAATGATGAATTCAAGAGAAACTACTCTTACTAATGCCGGTAGGTTCCCTTTTTTTTTATTGCTCTTGTAACTTTGTATGTCATTAAGCAATGTATAGAGAGAGAAAAAAACAAAAAGTCCTTGCTATACATCAATTGCTATCGGCATATGCGATTTAATTTTTTACATTTTCTTTTGGCATGTTACGTCTCTCTAGAGATTTACCAAACGAGAAAAAAAATCAACAATATTCATGATAGACTTCGAAGGCTGTTAGCATATTCCATATGTTTTATTTTCTTTTTTTTTTTATAGCAACAAATGCATCTTATCATGAAGATAATAATGATATTTGGCAACCGATGAATTCTAATAAACGAATATTAAATGAAAATACAAGCACTATTTTGCATAATAAAAATTATTATTTTGAACCAATCGATCGTGATTTTTCAACGAATCTAACAACATCTCAAACAAATCATTCACATTCAATTCAACGACCTGTACCTATTTCAAATTATCAATTAAATACAGTAATGGAACGTTCACAACAATATCAACAATCATATTCTTTACAAACAAAAACAAATTCAACAATGAATATTAATCCATCTAATATTGATTTAACTATTCGATCATATGGATTACCTCGTTCAATAACAACAGATCAATTTTCAAATAATAAAAATCCAAAAAATAGATCATATTATTATCCTAGTGTACAAGATGTACTTGATGCTTTAAATCAAGATTCTAATTTTAAAGAATCATTTGTTTGAGTATATACAGTATATGTTTTGTTGAAAATTAATCTAATGAATGAAAATTTTCTTTTGTTCTGAATAAAAACTAATAGCGATGTAGACTGAAAGAATTTGTTCAACATACATACCCTTGGGATATAAGAAGCTGAGATAAGTATACGAGAAATATTCTATATCATATTTGAATTGTGAAAAATTCTTCAAACCTTTTCATAATAATGGCGAAATACTTCTAAATTCAATTCAAAATTCGTAAATTATTTTCGTAAGTGTTGCTATGTATGTTATTATGTGAAAATCTTGTCACAAGATATTCTCTCATTTTTCCAGTAATAAAAGACAACTGGTTAAAATTACAAACATAATTTTTCGCTATTTCCAAATATATGTTCAGAGTTTTCTCCCGAAATATGAAAAATTGTCTGTGCAAAGCAAATTCATGGTTTTGACACAACTTCAAAATTAGCATTATTGTAGAGCATCGAATACTGTACAATAATCGAAATCTCATCTATCTGTTTTCATTCAATAGAAAATATCTATAGAAATACGAAAGTCTAAGAATTTGTCATGTGAAAATAAATAGCACCCTTTATACATCAAAGAAAACTAAGCCATGAAAAACGGTTCCAATCAAAAGATAACATTAACCATAACAGTATCCTGCACAAGCACTGTGTTGAATGTTAGGAAACAAACTGATAATAATCTTACTTCAGAAAGAAATTCCGAGCACATATCTGGAAAAAGTAGAACATTCTGGCTTTAACCAACCAAATATTGAGTAAATACTTAGCGTCATAGGTTATAACAATTTGAGAATTCCCTGGAGTTTGAAAATAAACATAAGACATATACAAATGCCGCAAGTACAAGTGTTATACTTGTACGTATAGTTGAGTATGAAAAACAGGATTTTGCACATTTTATTGGAGATCTAGATCAAATAAATTTCGTCAATAACGTTCCCTATGTCTGACAGATTTTAAAGATCATCGTATATCTTCAGATGATCAAAGTGTGGCAACAAAAAGAATTTTTACTGCTATACGCTGATGAATTTACTGCATCTCTCTTACAAAAAAAGAATGTCTTCATTGATTGCATTTCTTTGAAATTATGGTGAACATCTGAATAGGATGATACTCGTTTCACTTAGTTATCAGAGTAAAAAACTCTGTTGTCATGTTTTGTTCATGAGAAGATATTATAATAATGTTTAAAAACTTATCAGATTAGGCAAAATTATTGACAAACTTTATGTTACCTAGATCTCAAATAAAAAGTGCAAAGTTCTCTTTTTCGTACTTAAGTATAACTACAAAAGTACACCTGACAAATATTTGTACTTTTACTTGAAAACATACGCAATGTACAAGTGCAAATATTTTCGTTCGAGTTCTATTTACGTAATATTATGTGAGATTAAGTACTCAAAAATACTATTTTATAGTATAGCTAAGTTCATTAGCTGTTGAAAAAATACCAAATTTTTTTAAGCTAATTTTTGACCGAACTGCACATCTGTTCCATTGCTATTGTACGAATTGTTTTAATAATAATATCAAGCTTGCGATGATTCTCAATAATTTAAGTCTACTCAACATGCCAATATCTAGACATGCAGTCTGAAAATTTTAGATTAGCATGCTGTTTTCTTATAGCATTATTAAATTTTTATAAGAGACCAAAAACGTAAAGAAATTATTTCGTTCTCATATAGGTTTCAAATTTTTTGTTTTGGATTTCGTTTTTCTGAAATTATTCAAAAAATGAATATTGTGAGCTTAGAAATTACATTTTCTGAGAGACTAAGTTTCTTTCAGATACCATTTAAGTCGTCAGTACAATGAATTAGAACATTTCGAATGAATGATTATATTCACAACGTGTTTGTTTATATACTATAAAAAAAAACTGCACAGTTGCATTTATTGGTGACCTCTAGTGCATTCTTTTGACTTGATCCATATAGTTGTATACCTTCAAACCAACCATTATTTAATTTTAATTATTCATTATCAAATGTATCTTTTGATTTCCATTTATGTCATGATTGGCTTGCAACTACCTTTTTATCTCATCTGTTGCTTTCATATTGATAAACTTGTATTACTTCTCTAGTTATCAATAAATCAAATTTTGTAAACACGAAATGTTTTATTGTTATTTGAAAAATATTAAGTATTTACACATGACGATAGATAAAGAGAATGATAGACGAAGAAATTGGGAAGCTTCTTTTCCTTTGTTTTAGATAATAAAAAATAAGAATAATCGAAGTAATGATTTTTGTTATTTACAAAATATATAGGTTACAAAAAAGTAAGTCAAAAGGATGCAAACATGTGTAGAACAGTTAACGAGAAAGAAAAAGAAAAATAAAAGTGATTCAATCTATAATGACTTCAATTTTTATAACAACCCTTTTAAGTAATTTATGGACCATAAATCATATTTCCAAAAAAATAAAACTATTTATATTATTTACTGTGGATCAGAAGAAAGAAATCATCTCGTTCCTCAATTACAAGATATATATACGAACAGAATAGTACATAATTGTAGTTTAAACATTGTGACATAGTCGTAGATGTAAATACTATGATCAAGTCGAGTCATCGAAAATTTTATTTGAAAAATTGCGATATAATTGCACGTTTAATCAGCTTAATAAATTACGATACAATCATCCATTTTGATGACATAGAAATCTTTTAGCTCTTTTCTAGTATATCATCAATATATATTGAATTAAGTTTACTCAATGATTGTAACATTAACTCAGAAGTAAAAATAAATAAAAAAAGACTTTGAATAAATAAGAAATTCAATGAGTGAATGAGAAGAAAATGAAAGTGGATTTATTGTATTAAAAAGAAAGATTTATCCTTTGTTGTTGTTAATACTTTACAATATTTCAAAAACAAATTACTATACTGACAATGTATTTGCATATCTAGGTCTTAAAAGAAGTTGATGAGCAGTTTGCATTTTTATGTTTTTCAATCAGCATCATTTTCATATAGTAAATATCGAATAATTTTTTGAATTAACTAAAACAAAACCGCTTCTTATATCAGTTCGATATGAAAATTAATATCGGAAATCTACGTAATTTTTCATGCTCTACCAAATAACATAGTAATCATGTTTATTTTTAACTTCTCTCTTAGATGATACAGGATCAAAGGAGTACGATATCGTACTCATTGGATTCTGTATAATCTACAAGTGAAGTTAAAAACAGACAGGATTACTATGTCATTTTGTAGAGCATGATAAATTGTGTCGATCTCCATATTAGCTTTCATATTCGATTTATAAAAGAAAAAAATGACAGGTACTATAATTATTAATCAAACATTCAAAAGTAATAGACTCTTCAGACTATTTAGTCTTTGGAATTTTTCTTTTTAGTATTCAATAAAAAACTAAAATAAATGGAGAAAAATATGCAGAATTTTGTGCTCGATCATTCTATTCTATTGAAAATGAAATTTAAGTAGTAAGAGCTTTATGACCTTATCCAATGGTGTACTTAATCGCTACCTATTTTTATACTTATTTGAATCAGGTTGTGTAGTCGATTGTAAGTTATGAGATCTTATGTAATCTTTTTTTTTTAAATCATTAAGAATACAAATCATATCTTTTCTTGTCTTAGCTGATTGATATAAGAAACTCCATACTTCTAAAGATATTGTGAGTTTTTTAGAGCGTATTTTTGCGTTAATGGAGGAAAAATTTTATTCAATTAATTAATTATTGACAATATCTGATTGTACGGAAAAGAAAACTAGATAAAATATGACATTCTATCATTTTTAATTATTTTATTAATTGTTTCTAAGACATTCAATGGCGAATGAAGACAAAGAAGCACTGGTCCTCCCGTTTCGAAAAAAAATTTTCTTGATTTTTTCTAACAGAAAAGACTAAAAAAATGAACTATTACTACCTCAAAGAAGCGTCAACATACGTTTTATGCCCATGATCGCCCTCTATCATAATAACCATAAATCCATTACTGACGACATAGCTAGTATTTAATGAGCAAAGCCATACACTTTTATAAAAATCATCATTTGAATTTAGCCGTTTAGCATTTAAAAAAATATTTTGTTTGAAGTTGAACGAATCTATTTTTTTTTTAAATTTATATTCAACCATTTCAATTTCTATGTTTGATCTTAGCATTAATATACACTTAAGTAATTTTTTATTTTACTGTTTGTTTAATTTATTAATACATTTAAATAATTAATAAGTAACCATTTTCAGTTAATTACTAATTTTAAAAATTATTTCACCTACTAATCATTTAAATGATAGTCAATGAAAAACATAAAATTCAAAATATTGTTATTTCAATCATATTTTTATGTTCTTGTTTCGATTTTTTGTAGTTCTTAGAATTTGTTGTAGCTTTATTTTTTTACAAAAATATTGTTTCTTCTTCAAATGATTCTGTAGTTTGACCTGACCTTTTCTTCTATTCTAGAGACTTATAGTCGACAATACTAGTTGTACACCGGTTTTTTTTCTTTCCTTCTTTCAACGAGTCTAGAATGTATTATGAAAAGAACTTATCGTTTACACGTTTTGTTCCCATTAGTCAAATGTTTGATCAAAGTTGATTATTTTTTTTTCTTCAGGTAAAATGATCTCGTATGATTGTCAATAAAAAGAAACGAATCGGATATAAGGTATAAATATATACACTATTGTAATGGCATATGACTCGGCATTTGTCTAGCACTATCTCTATCTCAAGCGATAAAATAATGCATTTATATTTTTGAAATATAACATTCCTACTATTTTACCCGTTCTTTATCATCTAATGAAAGAAAATACTCTCGTCATCATAGTTATTTTACATATAATGAAATCATATCAATAGGAATCGTTGTTTTGCATCTTTGTCCTTGTGTTTTTATTGTGTCTTTGTATATAACCGACCAATGATATTTTTTCCTTTTTCTTTTTCTGTCACATGTACCAAGATTCAA